CCGTGTACTCTGCTTACATCTACCAGTATGACGCTGGCAAGAGAGCTACACCAGAATGGATGGTTGAGCCCCAGGTGAGTGTCCTCTCTGACAGGGAATACAGGAGACCACACATGTGTCCTGGACTCTTCTCCCAGGATGCTTCCTCCGCATCCTCAGGACACGCCTCCTACAACTTCAGACACCTCCACCACATGATTCCTTTGATGCATTTAAAACAGCAGCAGGAGGAGGAGTCCTATCCCAAAGGTGCCCAGTTTTCTGCATTGACCTGAGAGCAACATCAAGGCAAATTCCATTCCATTCCAAAGTCAAATGACCTCCCTGTCTGTGCCCTGCTGTGGTGGGAGAACAAGTGATGGGGAAAAGGCATCCAACAGCAGCTAAATTTGGGGGACCAACAGTCCTGCTGGGCTGTGATCTCCACTTTGCCCTGAGCTGTTTTGCATCCCTGACAAAGCTTTATTGCTCCTGCTTAGGTGTCAAATAGGCTTTGTAAGTGATGTGAGAGAAGTGAGGAGAAACTCAGAATTGGGTGAGATGGCCCAGGGAAAAAGCCTTGGCACAGTCATTGAGTGGTGAGAGGGTTTGGTGAACACTGGGGAATGTATTGAGTGATATTTCAGGCAGTGAAAAGTGAGGAGCATCAGTGTCAGTCCAGTCAGAAGGGGGTGATCTCCAGCCAAGGCCAGTTGCCCCTGAGCACTGTTGCCTCAGGCTTGGTTCAGAAGGATCCACCAGACACTCAGATCTCCACAAATAACAGAGCTCTCCCAAATGTCCTTCAGACCTCCAGTAAAAAAGACCAAGGGAATTATGGAACAGAAAGAGAGGAAGTTTAGGTCATTTCTAAGGACAGAGCAGCAGGATGGAATTTAGGTGTTCATGAACTACAGAAGAAAGCCACATGCCCTGTTCCAGAGGGAGAATAAATATGTATTTCCAAAGATGAACAGAAAGGTGTTGGAGTTCTAAAAAAACCCATTTGCACTTTGTACTCATTAGAACTCAAACAACTAATATGATATTGCACCACTGCAGTTTCCACGTTTAGGGCAGAGATAAAGCTTCTCTTGTTTCGTAGACTCATAGAATCATAAAGGGTTTGTGTTGGAAAGAACATCAAATATCATCTCATTCCAACCCCCCTGCCATGGGAAGGGCCATCCTCCCCTAGACCTGGCTGCTCAGAATTCCATCCAACCTGGCTCTTTTCCTCATGGACCACATAGCCAGGCCTCCTGCAAACTCTGATTTTGGTAACTTTCTCCAGAGGTCCTTTTTCAGTACTTGGGTTCCTCAGGACTCTTTGGGGATTATGAGCTCCTTGGAGAGGTTGATCATTTTTAACTTCTTTGCAATGAGATTGCAGAAGATGTTTCCTGGCCCAGATCAGCTCTGAGACACATTATTAGGACTGCAGTAGCAGACCCCATTTGCATTGAGGTATTTTTGATTAATGACCAAAAAGGCTTCATCCTTGCAGTGACCTGTAGTACCCCCTGGGAAACCTCACCTCTAGGACTGTTTTCTCAACACACCTCCTTGTATATGGGGTTACAGGAGGCAAACTCTGGTGTTCCAGGAGTGTGATACACCTGTAGCAGCCACAGATGGAATCCGAGAATGGCAGAATGGGGGTGGGAGGATCTGGGGAGAGCCCTGGGCAGATGTGAGGTGTGGAGAGAGGTGGAAAAGGAAGCAGATGTGGCAGGGAGGATGTCTTACCAGAGTCAACTTCAAACCTAGGAGTGGAAAATTCTAATTGTCTCATGTATCCAGCCACATTCCTAGCACAGGTTGCAGGCTGGATCACAAAGGTCACAAGTCTAAATGAGAACAGTCAGATATGGAGAGTCTTTTTTTAACGCTTTAGTGTTCATTGGGGAGTGGCAGCTACAGGAGTTTGTCTTGGATTCACACATTTTCATATACCAAGATGACAAAAAATTAGATCTTGACACTCAGAGACTTCTGCTCCAGGGAGACTTGCTCCATTACTCCCATCCCCAATACTGATACCTTTTCCTCTTCCTTATCTGTCAAGCTGATACGGGACAATTTGCCCAAAGACATGGAAACAGAGAAGACCCTCAGAGAAACTTACTCAGTCAGCCAAAAGGATATCAGCGAGAGCCAGGCTGTCTACCAAGACTACCTTAAACTTAAGGGTTTGGACCGTGGCCATTTGAACCCTGCTGCTCATCACGACACCCAGGATGGCAGGAACGCAACCTTCACCCTCACCAACATAGTGCCCCAGA